GAACAATGAGTACAATTTGATGTTAATTTTATTATCATTTATGCCATCAAGACACAAGCACCACCAACTTCTTTGATCTTATCTTCTGCTCGCCGGCTAAAAAACTTGGCCTTCACAATGACAGGCTGCTTAGGGAGAAGTCCTTTGCCAAGTACCTTGAAATATCCCTGTTTTGACAAAAAATTTACATTAGCTAGGACCACAGAAAAATGACTGCAATTACATTAGCTAGGACCACAGGAAAATGATTGCAATTACATTAGCTACATAGGACCACAGGAAAATGATTGCTGTGTGTATAACAAAGTTTGACATAAGACTTTCCAGTGACCGTAGCAACTGTAATGACTATATGGAAGTCAGGCTTTACAGCCCTCACTTTTAACCTTAGAGCAGACCGATTTGAATAATATTAATTTATTCAACAAATTCACAGTACTAAGTTCACTGATCACATGCTCTGAGTGCTGACCAATCAGATACAGTAAACACCTGAAAATAAGAACCTTATTTTTTGAAAGTCTGGCAAAAAAGGTTCTTGTTTTAAGGGGTAGTTGTTGGTAATTTTGGCAAAACAGGTTCTTAAAGGACACGAAAATGGCGGATTCGTACGTAGGACTTCTTAAAGTGAGCGCAAATCGTCTTCCGTCCTTTCAGTTTGGACAGAAATACATTTAACTAAGTACCTCACAGGTACTATCAATCTATAATTTATTGTATCCTTTACTCATTTAAATGTATGTAAACAGTAATACGAGCGTGCAAGGTACGGCAGTTGGTTATGATTCTTTAAGGAGGTTCTTAATTGCTACAGTAGTCTGAAGCACTGTCCTCTAAAAGGTTGAATGTCTTTATTGCTTTGTCAGTGCTACATAACTTTGTTCAACACTAAATGCTGCTAGCTATATAGGATATTAAGTGTTTGTACTGCTGTATTATATTGGGCGTTTTGTGTAAATTATCTTTTATTTCTTTTACACACACCTCTAAATTGTGTCAGTACCTTGTGCTTTGTTTATCCTGTTATTTAGCACTAGCCCATATTATAAGAATCGCTTGATAATGTTTGGCTAAAAAGGTTCTTATTTAAGGGGTTATTAAAATGGCGTCATTCTGAACAACTGATACTTACAGCTTTGACAACATCAATAACAGGTACTGGACCGTCTTTCTTGTCTTTGTAATTGAGCCTGGTTTGTTCACTCACCAATGACCAGATACGGTCCAGGTTGATGGATGGTTTGTGGTATGGATTTCTCTTCAAGTGAAAATGTCTCATACCAACTTTACCAAAATACCCAGGATGGCTGAAAAATTAAAATAAAAGATTAATTAAGAATGAAGAAGAAATATAGAGTGGTTTATAATGTTTCCAGAAACAATGATTCATTATCAATTACAATCTAGATATTAAGTTAATTTGTTTTTCCTCAACCGCTGATCGTCCGAGGTGCAAGGTATATCACTAGTTGTAAGATTGCATTTTTAATTAAAGTGAAGTGAAGTATTGATGATTATTATTGTCATCATAAAACTTCRCCGCTGTCATCTTCATCACATTTAATAATCGGTCACATAAATYATCATAATAGAGCAATAAATGAAAATGAGATGAGCAAGCAGATACTTTGTCTGCCAAAGCTCATGTTTGACCAATCAAAGCATCTTTGCCTATAAAAAAACAGTTGTTTATAGGAAAATATTTGTCTCTCCAGTAATGTTAAATGCTCATATTTACGTACGAAAACTATGCATGCAGCGTTTTACCCGTATATATACAAAAAAATAAAGAAACAGACAAAAACATAAGAATAACATCAATAACACACACTTACTAGTTGCATTTAATCAGTATTTTTCAAGAGGTAAAGAAATAATTATTGAAACACTCACTATTTGTCGAAATTGATTCGGTGATGATGTTGTCCACCGGCGTTACCTCGGCCGCCAGGATGCTTACGATGTTTCCCTGTACAGAAAWCATTTTATACATTACTRTAAATACATTTTAAAAGAATTCTTAACATCTGATATTTACCGATTCGCCCGTGTCCATGACTCACATGGCCGCGAAGCTTTCTCGTCTTCTTCAGGCGAGCAGTCTGAAAGAATGGTATRTTTCTATCAAGAATTGTGATCAATTTACACTGAAACCCTGTAAACTTATGGATGAATAGCAATTTGTTTATAATATGGCACTTATAYTGTGGAAATGTTAAAGGTAGTTAAGATGGAAATGGATTTTATTCGACACCRTTTTCATATCTTTACCCACCATTTTGAAAAGTAAAGAGGAAGGAGCTTTGTTGTGCGCAGGCTCGAGGGGACTATGCCCAGACTCTCAGGCCCTCTTTTGCTGACTTCACAATCTCGTACCTAGAGCCGCCGTTCCTCTTGGTCAGCGCCGAGAACGAGATTGCTGACTTCACAGGGTCCCCAACAAAAAATAATAATAATCTAAATTTGTACAAAATTTGTGAAGTGGTTTYATGTACCAAAATATAAAATGAATGATAGTTAAAAACTATTCTATTGATTTGAATGAAATTTTAGCCCATATATTACCAAAACAAAAATCTAATAAAGTAATTTTGATTTATGTTTTCACTTGATCGGAGTAAAGTAGTTAATTTTTAAGATAAAGTAAAAGGAAAACGTTTTAGAAATGGTCTTCTTTGGAATTAAGTTAATAATGCTTTATTTTGATTACCATAAGGAGACTTTTTGTAGAGTTTTTTCCGAATAGTGTCCGAGACTATACCGATAAATAGCCGATTACTGATCGCGCCTTGGTGCGTTTCGATTTGTGTCACATGGTTTCACATCGTCACATCTTCCACTGCAGTGGTGTTGTAAACATGGCGAACTGTGAAAACGAAGTTGTTTCCCTTGCAAATCGTAAATTACAGGCTTACAGACTGTGTCARGAAAATCTTGGAGGATCATGGAAATCTGTGCCTTTCGATAAGTTTAATATTCAAGTTTTAAGGTATTTTTATCAGAAATTTGAGCTTTACGAAGTTATTGTGAAATCATTTGTAAAATTGTCTTGCACAATGAAAATTCCCTGGTTTTCTTTTTAATTTCTTCATTAGAGGAGGCTGTTGCTTTCGAATTTCGTTTGTTGTTTTGGATTGCTGATTGTTATATGCTGTCAAGATCGAAGAGACTGTTTTTTTGATAAACTCGTTTGCATTTATAAGTTACATGTGTGAAGACTTGATCATCTTCGTTTTCTGTTTTTTTTTTTTCTAAAACTCTGAGTGTTTAAATTATGTAGCGTATCTTATCTTAATTTTTTTATTATCTCTTTTTTATATTGCTGAATTTATATTACACCAGAAAGAGCAATCATAACTTAAAATGCCATGTTCTTCATAAGAAGAAGAACGTCGTACGTTTCCATGGCAGTTTTAAGG